TTCGCGATGGGTTTTTCGGCTTCCCTTGTGGTTTCCCACGTTTCGTTCGGCCTTATGTTCCCCATTAACTTGGTTTTTAGCCAACCCCGCGCAGAGTTCGAGACATTTCTGTCCCGGCCTCCGCCGAGGTGGTTATTCCGCCCGGCCGTCCTCCTATCCACCACCCGGAGACGCGCTCGGTTGGTGGCTCAACCGCGCTCTCCGCACCCCAGTCAAGGGGTTTAGAGTGACCCGAGCCATTTACTATTACTTTGTAACAAAATCACTCCATCCTTTTCCAATTTGTCTAATTTTTTTTCCACTTTCTTCTTAAATGCCAATGGCACTGGTCTAGGTTTGAAAAATACAGGTTTCACTTCTTTTCTCAACTTGATATCAATTTTTTCTCCATTAAATTTACCCAATTGTCCATCAAATAAAACAGAATATTGTTCAATTAAATGTTTAATATGATTACCTGTATTCACAAAATTGATACCTTCAATTCTAATACCCATGTTGCTCAATCCTCTGGCAATCAACTACCACTGAATAGCTTGTGTGGATGGTGTGCACATCTCCAGAATGTTGGAGGGAGTGGGGGAGCACCAATTTGCTCACGTTTTCATAATGTTAGTTTAAAAAATACCTATCCGACTCTATGGCCTCGCGATACTGAGAACGCCGAAACCGTTGAGAATTTTACGAATTTTTTTTCCGTTGAATTTTACACGAAACACGTTCTCATACAATTGAACCTTACCCACCCAATCACGTATTCGTAATATTAATACGATATTCATTACGATGGACTAGAGCTGACATTTCTATACATTCCAAGTTCTCCAGCTTCATGATGAAAAAAAAAATATGATTGGAGGGGAGATCTTTCGCTGGGTAAATGAGATCTTTATAGCTTATAAGGAATCTCCTTCCCAGTGCAGAGCTCATTTGATTCTGTACCGTGAGTGTTAAAGTGCTCTGCCTTTGTGATGTCTGTTGATGCTGACCAACCAACAAGCAATAGAATTTCAACTTGTGAAGTGATCACAATTCGTCCATTTATTCAAAAGTTGAAAACTTCGGAGAGGATGAAGCGAGAATTGCAATGGGATGCAATTGAGTCGATCAGCTCGTCAGATGGAGAGTCAGAGATTAGAAACTTTACTGACAGTGATGATGATGATGGTGGTGCTTGGGATGGTCCTACCCCATTAGATCCCAATACCATCTCACCTGGTGGCAGTGAAAACGTGGATGATTCGCCAGAGAGTTCAGCACCTGTGGAGAAGGAGATCGTACAATGTCCAGCAAGCCCGGACCCCGAGTCTCCAGAGAGTCCAGCAGCTGTGGAGAAGGGAATTGTAGACTCTCCCGCAAGCCCGGACCCTGAATCTCCAGAGAGTCCAGCACCTGTGGAGAAGAGGACTGTAGACTCTCCAGCAAACCCAGACCCCGAGTCTCCAGAGAGTCCAGCACCTGTAGAGAAGGGGATTGTAGACTCTCCAGCAAGCCCAGGCCCCGAGTTTCCAGAGAGTCCAGCAGCTGAGGAGAAAGGTTTGGGTGATCTTCCAAACCTATCATCATACAGCTCGATGATGGTCGTGGAAGACTCTGATTCAATGGAAATGGATCCACCCGATTCCCCTATATCAGAGGTAGCACCAGTGATTCCAGCGAATGTTGGGACTGTACCACCACCTACTTCAGCGGATGACACAGAACCATTTGGTCGAGTGGGGGAAGCTGTATGCCCATCAGCAGGTGACTCAGATGATGATGATGTGTAACCTGTTAGAATTTTCGTGCCCGAAGAATGGGACGGTATGATGTCTGAAAGAGCTATGATGAAAAAGCTGAGAGAAATCATCAATCGTCAGTATAAAGTTGGTGGAACTTTTGTCACAATGGGAGATGTTCGAGCCAAGCTGATCTTCTGTCCTTATGGAACTATTTACTTTCGACAGATGGGATCATTTAAACATCCCAAGCGATTGTCAACCAATATTAAAATCTATCCAGAGGTAAATTAATAATAAAATTCTAACATCTTATCAATCCGCTAACTCAATTATTAATTTCTTTCATTTCTTTTCTGTTTCAGTTGTAATTTCCGAGGGTAAAATTATTTTGAAAAAGTGGCATCTATCATCTGACAATTAAACAGTGAAAAATGTTATTACATACGCTACATAATTTTTTAAATTTCTAATATTAAAATGTTCAAGTGAAAGCATTGGAAAATACCGCTATAATCATCTATGCTTTGAAAACTCTGTAATATTCTTCCCGAAAAATATCTATGCATATATATGTATTGAATAAAGAATATTTTCTCCACTTGAAATCTCTATCAATGCTCCATTCTTCACCATCAACCAGATGTAAACATTCAGAGTTTACGCGCCAGACACCCAGAGTGAGACAGACAACTTTTGGAGGCTTTGGCGCTGGAGCGAAAAAAAGTGGTGTGGCGACGGGCCCAACGTTGTCTTGCAGCCTCGCTTCGTCAGTACATCTCACGAAATCACAGCAACAAGTAAGTGTCGTGGAACATTAAAGTTGATAGTGAATTTCATAGTGTCATCAGTGTACTATAATAATTAATGATTGTTTTTTTGTTTTAGTGAAACTTGAAGTGTACATTTTTCCGGACCCCGCGATGAGGTATGAGTGGGAGAAGGATGATGGGAGCATGGAGGACTGGCGGTTGGGGGAGGTGGAGAGGCTTGGGGAGGACCTCACCAGGTACTGGAGCCCGGTGAATCGTCTCCAGGTACCCATGGATTTCATTATTAAATTCATGGCGTACCTGGCCGATCATTTCTTCGCCAACAAGGTAAGACACTAACAATCAATTATAATGTCTTGCTCCTCCTTCTGGACTTAATATATATATCATCAATTTTTCTTTTAATAGGAATGGCAGCTCCACCAGGAGATGAGGAAGTTCCTTAACTTTTTGCTCCTGAAGGGTCGTGAGATTGAGGCACTGGAGATGGTGCCTCACGCGCAGGGCATCGCGGCAACCGCCGTGATGATTCTGGACGCACAAAATCATTACGATATCTGAAGTAAGTACAATTCATTTTTCTTGTTTTCATTATCTTTCTTTATATTCAAATTAATAAAATCTATTTATTTACTTCAGGTGCATCATCTCCAGGACATCCTTTTTTAATTTTATTATTAGATTAAGTTTTTGTAACTAGAATAAGATTATATAATTTGTACTTAGAATAAGTTTTTCTTTACCAATTTATATGGTTTGTAATTAGAATAATAAGTTTTAAAATATAAAATAAAAAGGAAAGATAAATTTGAAGTTTCCAATTTATTTCACCACCCTCATTTTTCAGGTTAATTTAACAGTGAATGTTCACATTTTTATTGATGATCCACATTGCTGAAGAGGCATGGATTGAACTCGCCCTCCAGGAAAGTGATCTCCAAACGTTCAGCAGCAGCAGCCTCACGGTATTTCACCAGCTTGGATGGATCCTGTTGGAAGGCGTTGAACAGTTGTGACGGCAGATACACGATGTACACGTCGTTAAGAGCGACAACCACTTTAGCACCAAATTTAGTCGAAATCACCTCCAGATCGGTGACCAAATACGTCTTGTTGAGTCACAGCTCCGTTCGATGTTTGGCTGGCAAGAAATTTCCTTGACTTGCGATTTTGTTGATGTCATGGAGATCCAGAACGTGCTTTTCCATTATGATTGTTGTTTCTCTCCTTGATTAACTTCGTCTTGGCAAATTTCGTGTGACTACACTTATAAATTTTGGAGACAGAATAATGAATCAGTAGATTTACTGCCGCTACTTATAGGCTTGTCACAAGTGGAGGGGGTATACAACAATCACATATAACATTAACGTAACAACAATTCCAAGAAATTTAGGCAATCTCCACCGAGCAGTCAAATTCTTCGCGGAAACTCAACTGTCACCATACTTCGGGGAACTCCATGAAGAAATGTTAATAAATCGATCCAACGGTCAATTTTTTCATGGAAACTGAACCGTCTGCACACTTCTGGGAAATTGATGAAGAAATGACAATGAATCGATCCCACTGAAACTTTATGACTCATTGGAACTCCAACAAGCAATGATCCAAGCAAATTGATCTGAATTTTCCTAAGGGTTGTTAGTCTTATTTCGAGATGGAACGCAGCAGCATTGTGCGCTCTTCCAGAATAATTGAAATTTTCCAACATGCCTATCAGAATGCACAATCTCAAGAAATTCAACAATGGATTGATCGATGTGCTTACTATATTAAATTTTATACTCGAGTGTTGACAAGACGAAATCATCTATCGGTTGGTGAGAAAAATGAGATTCTCTCTACAATTGCTCGAATTCAGGGTTATCAAGAGGGATTTACAAATAGACAACATCGAGGTGGGCGTGTGCAGGTGCCATCGCATAGCAGAGAAGAAGAAGCGCTTGGAGATCGTGTACGCTGGAGAGATGGACGATCAGCATTTCACAGTCGTATTCGTACGGGCATTGTAATCAATCTCCAACATAAGGATCCAGCTTCCTTTCTCAATGATGCAAGACAACTGTCAACAGCACATTTGAGAAGTGTTCTCGAAAAGAATGGCAACATAAAGGCAAATGCTATTTTAGCTTGCAAATTTACATTGAAAAAGGATGAAGTGATTACCAGTGAAGTTAAATATTTCAATACGAAGAATGAAATCATTCTACCAGCTACAGATCTGGCAACGTGCTTTGATGAGAATGTGAGTGAGCCATTGCTTACAAAAATTGGGGATTTCCCTGAACGTGACTCCGGATGTGAGTTGAGTGAAATTATGAATTTGATGGTTAATATGAGCCGATATGTTCCACTCAAGGGTGGCTCTTCAACGTACGTCGAGCTGCCCTATGATATTCAATCTAAAAAGGCTGTTCTCAATGTCAAAAATTCGGATGAATTTTGTTTTTCGTGGTCAGTTATTGCTGCTCTCTATCCAGTAAACACGCATCGATGTGCTAGTTCATGATATCCTGACTCTACCACCGCATCTCTTCCACAAAGTGAAAAACTACTTGATTATGCAAATATTCGCTTCCAGATCATTTTGAGTGATATTCCAAAATTTGAGAAAATGAATGACTTGTCAATTAATGTGTATGGAATTGAATGGGGAATGAACAGTGGGAAGGAAATTGTCACTTTCGACCTCAGCAAGATGAACTCGTGTATACCCACAATTCACTTACTTCTCTTTTGTTCGAATGTGCATCTTGCCGCTGATGTTCAACCAATTTACCACTTCGCATGGATAAGAGATCTCTCAAGACTGGTTAGTGCGCAAATTCCCAATGTTGCACATCGTATATGGTTGTGTGATCGATGTTTGTCTTATTTCCGCGAGAAGAAACATTATGAGGGTCATAGACAGGATTGTGTAACTATCAATAAGTGTAAAAAGATTCTTACATCGGAAAAGAAAAAAATCTTGAACTTTGAAAATCACAGATGCAAGGAGCCTGTCCCATTCACAATTTACGCTGATCTCGACTGTATTCTTCAACCGTGTGCTGATAATGATGATGACAGATTACCGCAAAAACATAATCCATATACTGTCGCCTCGTACTTGCAGTGTTCCTTCGATACTAATTTATCCCGCTTTCAAATTAAACGTGGAAGTGATTGCATTACGTGGTTCATGGATGAATTGAAGAAAATTGGAGTGATGGTGAATGATAAAGTAAGAACGATTGTACCAATGGAGCAGCTCACGTACGCACAGTCCCAACAATTCTCAACAGCCGAGTGTGTCATATATGTGAGGGACCATTCATTTTGACAGACATTAAACATCGAGATCATTGCCACTTCACGGGTAAATGTCGTGGAGCTGCGCATGCCGGATGCAATGTAAACTACAAAAAATCACATGAAATACCGGTGATTTTTCATAATCTTTCTGGGTATGATGCTCATTTTATAATTGTGGATTTGGTGAAGGAGTTCAATGGCTCTATCGAGTTGCTGCTTCTGACAAAAGAAAAGTACATTTCATTCAAGAAATCTATTCCACAAACAAAAATCAAGCTAAGATTTATCGATTCATTTGGATTTATGGTTAATAGCCTGGAAAAATTGGCATCCAACTTGACTGATGAAGATAAAATAATTACACTAGCACATTGCAACGCTGAGCAATTCCATTTGTTAAAGCGTAAAGGTGTATTCCCATATGAATATTTGGATAATTGGGATAAATTGAATGATGGAGAAGTACCATCGAGAGCAACTTTTTATTCCACACTAAACAATCAAGAAATATCAGCGGAAGATTATGCTCACGCGCAGGAAGTTTGGAAAAAATTTAATATTACATCACTTGGTGAATATTCCGACCTCTACTTAAAAACTGATGTTCACCGAAATTTCCGAAAAAGTTGTTTGTCAGTCTGCAAACTCAACCCACTGCGCTACTACACAGCACCTGGACTGGCATTCGATGCAATGCCAAAATCCACCAGTGTAGAAATCGAACTTTTTACAGACGCTGATAGGCTCTTATTCATTGAAAAAGGGATCCGAGGTGGTGTAGCTCAATGTACAAATCGCTATGCTCATGCCAACAATCGGTATATGGGTGAGAATTATAATCCAAAGGAAGAGGAGTCCTATCTCATGTACTTTGATGTCAACAATTTATATGGAGCAGTCATGAATCAGTACTTGCCCTTTGGTGCATTTGAGTGGGAAAATGTCGAAGGATTCAATATCTTCAATGTTCCCAATGATTCACCTGTTGGATATATCTTAAAAGTGGATTTGGAATATCCTAAAGAGCTACATTATGTACACAAGGACTTGCCGCTATGTCCCGAGCATTTTATTCCACCGAATGGCAAGGATACCAAGCTCACGACAACACCCTACGACTAAAAAGACTATATAATTCATTATCGGAATTTGAAGCAATGTCTGATTCTTGGTATGCGATTAACGAAAATCCACCGAATCTTAAAATCCAAGCAAGCAGCATGGCTCAAGCCCTACATCGACTTAAATACAGAGATGCGAACAAAATCGACAAATGAATTTGAAAAGAATTTTTTCAAGCTAATGAACAACGCAGTTTTTGGAAAAACGATGGAAAGTGTGAGAAAGCACAGAGATGTTAAGTTGATCACCAAGTGGGATAGAAGATATGGCGCGAGAGCCTACATTTCCCAACCAAATTTTCAGTGTAGTCTAATTTTCGACGATAATATGACGATCATTGAGCTGAAAAGAGTTCAAATTATATTCAATAAACCAATCTACATTGGATTTGCCATTTTGGACTTGTCAAAAATTTACATCTACGATTTCCATTATAATTATGTGAAACGTGAATTTGGAGAGCGATCTAAATTAATGTACACCGACACAGACAGCCTTCTATATCAGTTCAATGTTCCCGACATCTATGACTTATCAAAAGAGATATTTCGAAATTTGACACTTCCAACTACCCAGCAGAGAATGTTTATCAAATACCAAGAGTCAATAAAAAAGTGATATGTTTAATGAAGGATGAATGTAATGGTAAAATTAGGACTGATTTTGTGGGCCTGCGTGACAAGCTTTATACTTTCAAGGTGTTGGGTGATGCGCGAGAGAAAAAACGAGCGGAGGGTGTGAGGGGGGCAACACTGAGAACATTTACCTTTGAAGACTATAAAAATGGTCTCTTTCAGCAGAAGAAACTGGTGAAATCACAGTATTTGATTCAAAGTAAAAAACCGCAAGTTTACACGGTGAAACAGAACAAGTTAGCACTGAGTTATGATGATGATAAGAGAATTGTTTTACTTGATTCAACAGACAGTGTGCCTTATGGTTACAATGAATTAAAGACACAAATATTTTCCAAATAATGTTTTTCTTGATTATCCAATTACATTTGATTAGAGTCTATCCAACTGTTGTGAGTATTATCAAATCCCAGCCACTTGACATATTGCTTCGTCTCCTTCCTCTTCAGCACCTTCTCAACGAGAAATACATCTGGATACATGACGTGACTCAGCTCCTCTTGGTAGAAGCAACCTTCAATTGCATCATCTTTCCCATCAACCAGCTTATATGTTACGGGATTGCTATATTGCACTTTTTTAATTGTGAATATTTCAATTTTCTAGT